TATTAGCTGCGGCTTGTTTTTTGTATTGATCATTAAATTATTTATTATTATATAAAAAAATGTTGACTTTTTCTGTTTTTCAGATCATATATTTTTCAATTTTAAACTTATTTTAATTTTATATACATACATATATATTAATTAATTAATTAATTAATTAATTAATTAATACACACAAAGGCTCAAAGTGATGATGATGATGAGCCAGGTGAACACATGCCAATGACATTAAATGTTGATGAGAACAAGTTTATGGAGGAGTTCTTTGAACAGGTTCCTTTTTCATTGCTTGTTCTCTATTGTTAATTTAAATCTAATGTTCTATAGTATATAATTGGTTTTTCAGATTTTCTTGGGTAGATATTTTGAAATAAGTATTCCTTTATAGTTATTTTGATCCATTAAATATAAATTTGTTAAATTATTAAATTAACTAAGATAGATATATTAGACATATTAGTTGAGCTATTGGTGAATTCAGTTGATTTATAATTTAAAAAATGTTAAATTCAAAATGTGTAGGTGAATGAGATAAGGGAGATGATAGATAAAATAGCAATCGATGTCGATGAAGTGAAGAAGAACCACAGTGCGATTTTGTCTGCCCCTCAAACAGATGACAGTTAGATCATTTGTCTTCATCAGCTATTTTCGTATCTCATCTTTTAATGTCTTGCTAATGTCATACAATAACTTTATAATGTCTTATTTTTTGAAAATGATTTCTACTGTTACGCTTCCAATAAATGTAATTCTTTTTTAGAAATATTCAACATTTTTATGCTACTTAATGTTTAATTTTAATTAAGAAACGAAAGATAAGTTAGAAGATTTGATGGCTGAAATAAAGAAAACAGCTAATAAAGTCAGAGGAAAATTAAAGGGTTGGTTGGTTATTTGTTGTTCTGGGTGATTGTTGAGTCTTATCACAAGATGTGAAGTGAAAATAATGTAAATTAAGATTTCTAACATTTTTTAATGATAAACTACACAACTAATGTTACCCAGGTATTTTTTGGTGGATTTTAAAAATATTAAACACACATTTTCATCAATAACATATTTAAATTTAAAATAAATATCATAATAGTTTTGGAACAAAAGATCGAACAAGAAGAGGAGACTAACAAATCATCTGCTGATCTACGAATTCGTAAAACACAGGTCTTTGTTTATATCTTTCTTTTAAATTAAAGGTGCTGTTATAAAAGTTTACTGCTGGCTATGTAATATGGTATGTACCGTGTGGTGGGGTGGGTGCCGAAAGGCCAATGAATTGGGCTCTTGAGTTTG